AAACTTTTCTGCTTTATTATTTTCCATTTTCTTAGCAACCAAACAGCATCAAAACAATTAAATGGACGAACCTTGTTCCTGACGGGCTCATGTAAATTCCAGAAAACATAGGTCTCGATCACATCTAGTCCTCCGTCCTTCGATTTCTGTATGAGGTCTGGCCACATCTGCGACAACCGAAACGACAAAAGAGTATATATAAAACACTGAGGTTTATGCTGTCTCTGCAAAACAGAAAAAACAAAAAAGGTACTAACATCGGGAGTGCTGCGAGGATAATGGATGGAGCCGGAAACCAAGACCCGGCGCTTGCCGTCGATGACGATCGCTCTGTGATCGTACGTTACATTGACTCCGAACGAAGTAGTAGCCAGTAAAACCAACACCACCGACCGGAGAAGTGACCGAATCGGAAGCTTTGCCGCTCTCATCTCGAAATCAAAATCAAAATCAAAACCAAACGCACACATTCTCTGCAACAAAAAATCTTCTTATCCCTGCCTTTATAGATGGCGTAGGAGCCGATACTGAAACACCGATTTTGGCAAGATTTAGAAACCCACTACGATGAATTCGATCACCAGGTTCACTACTTAGGTTGGTAAGACTTAAGATACAAAGATAAATTGAAAGAATCTACTCCCAAAAATCTCACTCAAAAGAGGAGAAATATAAATTGAAATTTTAATTGAAACTTGACTAGTATTATTTATAGGCAAAATCTAATGAAAAGTAATAAATGAAAAGTAAAATGCAGTTGGGAGTTAGCAATTTTGTAGAATTTAGTGGCCATTTTTGTTGACTTGTGACCATGTTGACAAAGTTGCACCGGCCTAGTGGTGCTACGGAGTAGCTTCTGCATGCTTGTTGTTTTTTTCCTAGTGCAATAGAAAAATTAGCAGTTTCTTCTAGTCCAGTTGTGTTCTTCAAGTCCAGTCCTCAGAGTTGACTGACCTGCAAAGCCCCAACGTTTAACTAGGGATGGCAATTTCTAGTCCAGTCGTGTTCTTCAAGTCCAGTCCTCAGAGTTGACTGACCTGCAAAGCCCCAACGTTTAACTAGGGATGGCAATTTCCTGCACAGAGCTTCGCAAATTTCTCC